CTTTAGGATTATTTATTTGTTTATAACTCTTATCATAATCAAGGTAAGGGTTCACCACTAAATTAAAATCTCCACATATAATACAAAATTCATTACTATATTCATTTATCACATCTATTATTTGCTGATAAAAACTAGGTGTATCTAAGTTTGGACCATATACTGTTATTAAAGTTACTTTTTTATCATTTATCAACATATCTAAGGCAATATAATTACCCTCTTTATCCTTTTTTCTTTCAGAACTTTACCTTCAAAATTATTATTAATTAAAATCGCTACCCCCTAGAGTTAGATTTATTTGCATTGTTATAAATTTGGAAAAAAATAAAAAATTACAAAAAAAAAAAGTTTGAAGAAAATCGGTTAACAGACAGACAGACAGACCTGCTTCTTCTTCTTCCATTACACGGATGAGAACTCCAACCTTGGAGTGCAATTGACCTGGGAGGTGGCACTTCAAAGAATATATTTTTCGTAATTTTTAGGTTTTATATTAAAACTATGTACATAACGGGGATGCAAAATTAGTAGAGAAACTGTTGGTAACCTTTAAGTGAGGACTTGAAAGAAGGTGATTCCTCACTGAGGGCCAGTGACGTTGGTAAAGAGTTCCAGGTGATAATAGTTCTTGAGGATAAAAGACAATTTGTAGGCGTCTTTTGTGGTAGATATTGTGTTTATTTTATGTGCCCCCTTGTTCGTCTGTCATCTGATGTGCAGTAATTATATATATAAGATGATTGTTAATTGGAACGATGTTATGCGAGATCTTGTATAACATTGACAATCTAGCGTTGGCCCTTCTTTGCGATAAAGATTCTAATGGTTTTATAAGGTTTGTCACACAGCCTGAATTTCTAAAAAAAATATGCATAAGTATGAAACAAGTTATTTCACGGATGTAAGTGCGCGGGAGGTCTTAGTGTGGGAGGAAACCGAAGGAAACCGGAGTAACCGCAGAAAACTCACGTAGTCGAGCCGCTGACCCCATACCTTTTCACGTCCGATTGGGGATCGAACCCCGGTCGCATTGGTGAAAGGCAAGTGCGCTATCCACTGCACCATCCGACCACCCATCGGTCATTGATTGAATGTGTTTGCCCCAAGTTAGGTCTGAACTCAAATTGACACCAAGATATTTATTAGTATCTACATTTGCTAAAATCTCATTATGAAGGGCATAATCATAATTAATGATGATTCTTTTTTTGGATACGTTAATAATAGAACATTTACTGGTGTTAAAATTAATTTGACACTTTTCTTCCCATTTTCTTAAGACTTAAAGTTATTGTTCAACTTAACGCAATCTTCTAAAGAGATTATATGTGTGTATAAATTATAATAGACAGTCATCAGCATATAGTTTTATATTACACGAAACTGAGTCGTCAATATCATTGAAGTATACCAAAAGTAGGAGATAGCCGAAAACTGTCCTCTGTGGGACCCAGAGGGGACAGGACAGCTATCTGTATCTATATCTGTAGTGTTAAGAAGAAAGGATCAAATCTGGTATATAATTCTTCGGGAGAGAGGCTGGTTACTCTAGTATTGATGTGTGAGAGCGTCTTTGAAACCGTCAACTGTCTCTGCGCCTATTACATTCTCACCAAGCTGGTTCCAATCAAGAACAGCTCGTAAAAAGACAGAATGTTTGACGTTTAGCTTTAGTCGGGATTAAGAAATCTGACCAGGTGATTACCGGTACCATATACATGTACCCCTGGTTAGCTTGAATAGCATCACTAGACGGTTTAGCTTGCGTCTGTGCTGTAAGGTTGGTAGACCCAACTCTTGGAACATGGTGGATACACGCCGTTCTATTTGGCTTCTATAGACCTTCTTGATTAAACGTGCCGCATATCTTTGAACTTTTTTCAAATTAATTTATGTTTTTTGTAAATAAGGATCCCAGACGACTGAAGCGTGTTATAGGGTGGAGCTGACCAGGGAGATGAAGGATATCTAATTCTGTTCCATTTAGTAAGACTAATGTGGTTCTAGAATTCAAAAACTGAGATATCCAAATACATGTATGGCTGATTATACCACAATACGTAAAAGCAGAGATATATAAAGCCATGTAGCAGATATACATCTTGTGTAGGCACTTGAGCAATTTCCTGAAAAAAATGCTATTTTCCCCCAGTTGAACGACAGCAGTTTATAAGTTTAATAAAATCAACCAATAAGTGTACCAGTGCGTATACAGAAAGTACGAAATTATATATTGAGTGGTAATAATTAATGTTAGGATTTTAGCAGGAGTTTTCATCTAATTTCCACTGACGACAATATTTATGAAATGATTTTAAAGAAGATTAATCACCCATTGTTATCCAAAATTCTATAAACTTAATTCAAATTCTTATTGGTGGGGAGAGAGGTTCTTGAAAAAAGAAAACACCGAAGCGTGAACAAAGTGAGAACTCAAAATCGATAAAACGAGGGTAAAATTTCAACAAAGGCATGGAGACCCTTAAAAATACAATGAACATAAGATCAGGTGTTCCGGAAGGGTAAATATCTTCCGTATTTAATATAGGTCAAATATAGGCAAATATAGGTCAAAACCTAGATATGCTACGTCCACAAAGCGAGAACTGGGTTAGTGACAACAAAACGACACTGATGAGCATAATCAACAACATCGACCTTCATATCACACACACTTGCCAATAGTCTTCATTAAGCTGCATCTTTGAAAACCCTGCATTGTAACTTTGTCCGTCAGCAGTATACATGTTATCATGATTTTGAAGTCTTGAAGTTATGGAGTGATACTATTTGCAAAAAACTCTTGAATACAGACCGAATCAACAGCAACATTGGAAGCAATGATGTTACTATCAAGAAAGAGAAAGATCACAATCGGAACATCAAAATAGTCACGCTGATCGAAGCGTAGTTTTAAGGGGTCTCTTTTCATTTTGTTACGAGTAAAGATTGAGGAAAGTGACTGAGGTAGAAAAGCCTGTAGTGTCCTTAATTTTAAGCTCGGGAAGGTACAGTATATAAGATCCACGCGGTCAATAAATATTTTATTCATGGACAGCATATTGTTGATATATTTGAATGTTAATTTAAAAGACTTGCAATTGGCTGAGTTATTTTTTGTCCTGATTGCTTATCAGATGAATTAAGACTCGTATGAAAACCAAAGTCGGCCAGAGGAGGGGCACAAATTCTTCCCATAGAAATGCCTACAGTCAGCTTACTGATGTAAAGTCTTGCTACCGGACTTAATAAAGAACTCAACCAGGAACTCAATCATTCTCACAATTTCAACATCTGGTTATTTATTTTAGACTTTGTGGTGCTTTTCACAAAATATGCTTTAAAAATTATTTACAACCATGTATTTATATCGCTGTTTGCCCTTCTTTTTGAAAAGAAACCTCTCATAATAAGAGAATGAAGGCGTTCCTTATGTTTGGTATAAGGAATGATAGTGCAAAGGGTCATCAAGTAAAAAAGCTTGATAGAAGAAACATTTTTGAGAAGATGATGTTCAAGATTGATAAAATGTTCTTTTGAAATCTTCAAATAGAACATGCGGAGTCACAATACAACTGTAACCCTGTTTAAATGGTAAGTTTGCATAAAGGCTTGGTTGAGCAACAAGATGAGCCCGCGACAAAATGTTATTTATAATTAAGGATTCTGGTGAAATTCCGGAGTCCAATACAAACGACGTACAGGTCCGTATCCTTATCATTAATTGGTATTCGGAAAGATTGTAATAGAAAAGCGTGATAAGCTAGTATTTCGTCTTTCGCAAAATTGGAAAGTGAATAGGTACGGTTACCATGGTTATTAAGCATGCCTAGTTCTAAATGGTCACCTTGTCGTAGTCTGCTAGCCTAACACGGACTCACAGGGACATGAGCATTTGTTACAGCTATATTTGGACATAAACTAAGGTGTTCAGAGTAATTTTACATGTTTTGGAGGTTTGAGTCAATTTTCGGTAAAAAATGGCTCACCCAATGATGATATATGTATATGAGTCTGGGGTGGTATTTTTACCCAAACCCCAACATGTGTAAAATTACTCTGAACACCTTAGTTTAGGTCCAAATGTAGCTGAAACAAAATATCATGTCCCTATGCTCCGACTGATATCATCGAACCACATCGGGGTAGGGTGGGCATTGGAATTTAAGAATGGCGCCCTATTTTGCGTAGCCTCGGAAGACGAGCCAGTTTTACTGATTTGGTGTCTGAACTTTTGATGTTTCGAATTCCCGACCACAAACTTATTCCCCGTTTGTTGTGGAAATATCATTTTTTAATGTCAGCTTGAAAGTTGTATTGCACTTATATGTGTTACAAGGTCTTTTTGTATGCGGAAAAAACACTTTCCCCTATATTGTGCTTGACATAATCTTTTATTTTAGTGAAAACACATTTTCACTTTTCAATTTTATGTAGACTTATTACGCTGACTAAAAATAAAAACTCGACAAAACTATGTGTAGGTACGTGTCTACTCGAGCAGCTACACCAACGTTTGTATTAGTGAAATTACAACTTAATTATGTTCATTAATGTACTATGAATATCAATTCTCCACCTTGGGAGTAAGACAGAGAGCCAAGGGCCAGACTTTAAAAAAAAATCTTACCCCGAGGGCTGAGATGTTTCTCAGTGCCTTATCCCCAAGGTGGGGAAGGATTATATTAATCGCAGTATGTAACTGACCATAGACCAGAGACGTTTATATGTCACTGCATAGACCTAGGTAGCTGTGAGAAAAAATGTCTTGTGTAAATTTGACACATTTGTTTTTCGTAGACAAACAAACATAGATCAAATCTTAATGTGGGTAGCAAAGTGTCTCTTTTTCATCTGATAGGCAAAATTGATCTAATAAAAAATAGAAAGTGCAGGCATCTTTAACATGCTTAGTGTAAAGGGAGATTACTCCAAATATTTTTGAGAAATATAAACAATCATGGCTGACGTACTGGCTGATTTGCAGTCTAAAGGCATTTTCAAGCGAATTCTGTTTGGAGGCACTGGTGACTTGCCACAATTTAAAGATGGAACAAAAGTGTGATCATGTTTATTTAATTTTCTCTACGCTCGGCAATGCTTTTCAGCCTTTCATACTGAAATGTGTATTAATTTTACTGTTTCCACTTGACATATTCATATTGGATCATCTTGCTCTACTTACAGTACTTAGACCGAATTTTTACCTTCATACCATCCATATTATCCATTGTATGTCTGAAAAGCTTAAAGACATTAACTCCAGTTCTACTAAACATGTGTAAATTGTCGAGAATTATGACATTACAAAAACAAATACGGTGGTCAAAAATCTTTTATGATGTTTCATGTCCAAAATTATAAAGGTTTTGATCTGTGGACACAAACCTGCTCCAAATATTTTTACTTACATCACACACCATATCAATATGCACTTTTCTGTTACACATATATCAAAGTAAAGGATGCTCAGTGCCTCGGAACAGCTGTGTTCTCTGCATTTGTCAGGGTTTGATTCTGATAAATATAACCAAAATGTGAACCTTCTGTGAACCGATATGCTGTTTCCCCCCCAAAAAATATAATCTAAATGCATAAAAGGAAGGTCAAATAATAATGAAAGATAGTTATTGATCATAATATAACAGATATTTCCTACTCATCTGGTGTTTGTGTAGTCAATAAACTAATATAGATCTAGAGCTATGTTTGGAAAAATTAAGGTTAAGTTGAAATTTTCTCTGGCCTTTAACCCTGTAAAGATTAATGTGTATTGGTTATATAAATTTACTTTACCTGTGTATTTATGGTGAATTTAATAAAAAAAAAATGTACACCATAACTATATTATGTACTATAAATGCTCTACATTTTTCTTTCGCTTTTCCATCAGTTGTACTTTCACTACCGCACAACCAAGTGTGATGATGAGAAGACACTTCTGGACGACAGCAGAAAGCATAGCAAGCCTATGGAGCTGATTGTTGGTAAAAAGTTCAAACTCGAAGTTTGGGAGACTTGTCTAGTCACCATGAGACAGAAGGAGGTGGCTGAGTTCGGAGTGACCACAGCTGTAAGTAGATAGCTCATTAATGTTCCTGTAATTTGTGAACGTTTCAGTTGGGTATAGATGTAACATATGAATTGCAGAGGTATGCTATATCTTACTCATTAAACCTACTATCTGTTTTAGAATTATCTTCCCTAAATTAAATCTAATAATTAAATCAGAATTGTCTAAGCTTTTGTTCACAATTATTTTGTGTCTTTAACATGCTTTTGATCATTTAATTAATCAAGTCAAAATTCACATTCTTAAAAGTAAAATAGAAGTACCAGTATTATATATATCTCTTTTAGGAAAGGAGTTGCCTATTACAGGAGGGCATCAGATGTCCTTCTTAATTAAGCACTCCTTTTGTATTTATTCCTGAAATGTGCGTATTTATACCTCTTTCTAGTGAGAGATATATTTCAGCAGATCTAAGGTCATCTTTCTCAAAATGAAAACAGATGTGAAAATAAATTTAAAGATAATTTTCAATTTATGCTTCAGCATGCTGCCTCTTACCCGTTAGTGGCAAAGAGTTTACGGGATATTTTTGAGAAGAATGGTGCTCACTCAAACACACCAAAGCACTGTTGTGGTATGATGGCTATGTCTGAAGAAGGAGTAGGCTACCCAGACCTCAATGAACTCATGAAGACGCCACAGCCCCTCATGTTTACCCTAGGTATATTAGTAGATGAGTGATATTTAAAAGTAGACCATTGGAAAACATCTAGACACATGTAATTTACACATGTTACTGAGTACCATTTCAAATTTATGAGCGTGGAAGAATAAGATTAATACTTTCATGGGTTTAATTTTTAGCTCATTGGTCCAAAGAGCTAAGTAAGCTTATGCAACTGCCTAGCATCTGTTTTCAGCTTTTCCCTTAAAAGATTGCTAGTCCAGAACGACTTAAGACAGTGGCTTCTCCTGGGAGCAGATGGGTAGGGCCTAATAGGGAATGGATTGATATTAAAAAGACTACATGTTAACCTTGGATGAAAGGATTGGAAACAAATTCAGCACAGATCATCCCCGAGCCCAGATATTGGCCAAGGCAGAGTAGAGGGGATGGCTCCCCTCACATCAAGGTGATGTTCTGCCCCTATTTCTTTTATTGGCTCAATAAAAGAAATAGGGGCAGACATATTTTTGACTAGTCTGTTCCAATAGATGAATGTTAACCATACTCGTTACAATTATCAATCTCATGATTACTGAACAATTGCTTTTTAGGCTGATTTGAAGTCCAAGAGGGATGTCTGGGTTTATGTTGGGTTCTGACTTGCTGAGATATTTTTGACTTCTCAATTTTCATTTTGACATTTTTGACAAAACATTGTACAAATGTTTATCTCGACTTAGTAATTCATAGAATTTGTTATTATTTTTACTTAGGATCAATTCCTATTAGTGAAAGATAGCCACCTGTTATCTGATTGGCTGAGACATTTTTCACTTCTCCACTTTCACCATGCAAATGATAACTAAATACATGTATAAGTAATTCTCTAATGATCCTGAAGAGTTGCTGCTAGTTTTTACGATTGCTTATCGTTTATTGGTGGATTTGAAATCCAAGATACCAAACCATGCCTTTGATTGGCTGAGTTATTTAAGGCTAATACAAAATTCCATCTAATCAAGTTTAACCAAATGTTGTACAAATGTTCCTGTCATTGCTGTTACCAAGTGTCCTTGTTAAAATTTTGGGGTTAATAAGAAATCTGGTAACTAAAGATTCTTTGTCGTTTTAAAATTATTATTATTTCTTTTGAGTGTTGAGCAGAACCAGTTCAAACCAAACCAAACCTATCTGATTATAATCTGTCTTCTGTAGCATATACTTACTCTCCATAGCAGTTGATGTTTTTGGGATATTTACAGAATTGCTAAAAGTGGAAAATCCAGGAGAATATGAAAAAGAATCCTGGGTTATGACAGAGGATGAGAAGTTGAAGGCTATTCCAAATCTGAAGGAAGAGGGTAACGCCTACTATAAACAAAAACAGTATACCGAGGCCGCTGAGAAGTATGGGGAGGCTCTCGGTATGCTGGAACAGCTGGTGCTCAAGTAAGTACAGATACAGTGGGTTCAAATACTAAAACAGCTAATCAATGTATACTTGGTGAAAGCTCTAAATGAAAAGAAAAAGGCGGCTTTCCAAAAAACATAACACTTGATCTGTTTTACCCATAATATTCCATTCAAAGACCTCTGTACATTTGAAAAAAATCTAGAGTTTGGAATATTTTTTCCTGAATTATTTATAAAAAAATCCTTATGTCACACAGATATATTGAAAAGTTCATAAATTTAATTTGAAGATGGTTAAGATGTGTCATACTGACTTTCTAAATGTAAATTGAAGGTAATGTATATGTATTGCATTAAAACATACTGACACTTTTTTGTTTCAGGGAGAAGCCAGGTGAAAAGGAATGGGATGAATTAGAAGACAAGAAGACTCCATTTTTATTGAACTTTGCTCAATGTAAACTCCTGCTAAATGAGTTTTACCCTGTCATAGAACACACCACCACTGTCCTCGCACGCGATCCAGGTATGTTTTACGACAGTGTACTCACATAACCCAGGTATATCATGTTACACTCTGTACTCACCCATAACCCAGGTATGTTTTACAGTGTACTCACATAACACATGTATATCATGTTACACTCCAACACTGTACTCACACATAACCAAGGTATGTTTTACAGTGTACTCGCATAACACATGTATATCATGTTACACTCCAACACTGTACTCACACATATCCCAGGTATATCATGTTACACTCCAGCTCTGTACTCACACATAACCCAGGTTTATCATGTTACACTCCAACACTGGACTCACACATAACACAGGAGTATCATGTTACACTCCAACAATGTACTCACACATAACACAGGTGGATCATGTTACACTCCAACACTGCACTCACACATAACACAGGTGTAACATGTTACACTCCAACACTGTTCCTCACACATAACCCAGGTATATCATTTTACACTCCAACACTGTACTCTCACATAACACAGGTGTATCATGTTTCACTCCAACACTGTACTTACACATAACACAGGTGTATCATGTTACGCTCCAACACTGGACTCACACATAACACAGGTGTAACATGTTACACTCCAACACTGTCCTCACACATAACACAGGTGTAACATGTTACACTCCAACACTGTCCTCACACATAACACAGGTATGTCATGTTACACTCCAACATTGTACTCACACATAACACAGGAGTATCATGTTACACTCCAACAATGTACTCACACATAACACAGGGATATCATGTTACACTCCAACACAGTACTCCCACATAACACAGGTATATCATGTTACGCTCCAACACTGGACTCACACATAACCCAGGTATATCATGTTACACTCCAATACTGTACTCACACATAACCAAGGCATGTTTTACAGTGTACTCGCATAACACATGTATATCATGTCACACTCCAACACTGTACTCACATAACCCAGGTATATCATTTTACACTCCAACACTGTACTCCCACATAACCCAGGTATATCATGTTACACTCAAACACTGTACTCACACATAACACTGGTTTATCATGTTACACTCCAACACTCTACTCACACATAACACAGGTGTATCATGTTCCACTCCAACACTGTACTCACACATATATGACATGATATTGGCTTGTAATGTGTGATAGCAAAATTAGAACTCCATGACCCGTTCAAAGTCAATCTGCGCGTCCTTAGGGTTCCAAGCTCCAACATGTGCCTTCGCTCGCCGAAACAGAGCCTTCACGTTATCTACAAAACATTTAGAAAATATCTATCATGTTTAATCCGTCACAAGTAAACTTCAGGACTAAAAACAAAATTGGGTTGTGTGAGCATATTATGTATAAAACATACCTAGATTGTCTGTGAGTACAGTGTTGGTGTGTTATATGATATACCTGGGTTATGTGTCAGTACAGTGTTGGAGTGTAACATAATATACCTGTGTTATGTGTGAGTACATTGTTGGAGTGTAACATGATACTCTGTGAGTACAGTGTTGGTGTGTTATATGATATACCTGGGTTATGTGAGTTCACTGTAAAACATACCTGTGTTATGTGTGAGTGCAGTGTTGGAGTGTAACATGATTCACCTGTGTTATGTGTGAGTACAATGTTGGAGTGTAACATGACATACCTGGGTTATGTGAGTACACTGTAAAACATATCTGTGTTATGTGTGAGTACAGCGTTGGAGTGTAACATGATACACCGGTGTTATGTGTGAGTACAGTGTTATGTTACACTCCAACACTGTACGCACACATAACACAGGTGTATCATTTTACACTCCAACACTGTACTCCCACATAACCCAGGTATATCATATAACACACCAACACTGTACTCACAGACAATCTAGGTATGTTTTATACATAATATACTCACACAACCCAATTTTGTTTTTAGTCCTGAAGTTTACTTGTGACGGATTAAACATGATAGATATTTTCTAAATGTTTTGTAGATAACGTGAAGGCTCTGTTTCGGCGAGCGAAGGCACATGTTGGAGCTTGGAACCCTAAGGACGCGCAGATTGACTTTGAACGGGTCATGGAGTTAGCTGACACATTAACAGCTGCAGTACAAAAGGACAGGTGTATCATGTTACACTCAAACACTGTACTCGCACATAACACAGGAATGTTTTACAGTGTACTCACATCACCCAGGTATATCATGTTACACTCAAACACTGTACTCGCACATAACACAGGTATGTTTTACAATGTACTCACATAACCCAGGTATGTCATGTTACACTCCAACATTGTACTCACACATAACACAGGAATATCATGTTACACTCCAACACAGTACTCCCACATAACACAGGTATATCATGTCTCACATAACCCAGGTATATCATTTTACACTCCAACACTGTACTCACGCATAACTCAGGTGTATCATGTTACACTCAAACACTGTACTCACACATAACACGGGTATATCATGTTACACTCCAATACTGTACTCACACATAACCAAGGCATGTTTTACAGTGTACTCGCATAACACATGTATATCATGTCACACTCCAACACTGTACTCACGCATAACTCAGGTGTATCATGTTACACTCAAACACTGTACTCACACATAACCAAGGAATGTTTTACAGTGTACTCACATAACCCAGGTATATCATGTTACACTCCAACACTGTACTCACATGACACAGGTATGTTTTACAATGTACTCACATAACCCAGGTATATCATATAACACACCAACACTGTACTCACAGACAATCTAGGTATGTTTTATACATAATATACTCACACAACCCAATTTTGTTTTTAGTCCTGAAGTTTACTTGTGACGGATTAAACATGATAGATATTTTCTAAATGTTTTGTAGATAACGTGAAGGCTCTGTTTCGGCGAGCGAAGGCACATGTTGGAGCTTGGAACCCTAAGGACGCGAAGATTGACTTTGAACGGGTCATGGAGTTAGATGACACATTAACAGCTGCAGTACAAAAGGAATTGAAGTCATTAGCAGAAAAGGAACATCAGAAAGATATGGAGGACAAACAAAAATTGAAAAAGTTGTTTAGTTGATAATATGCCAATGGTGTTTTATAGTAATTTTAATATTTAACACATTATATTTTACATGTAACCGGAAAGATCTGTTTTGTACAAATTGTCCTGAAACTTTAAACAAAGCAAAGATCTTCTGTAAAATGTACTGTAACTCTTCAAAGTTAGAATCTTACAACATTGATGATATATTTTCACATTTAAACACCACCACATGGCGTAAACTATCAAAGTGTGCCAAATTTATTACTTTGAGCTTTTAAATATGTTTTTTTTCAGAAATTCTGTCAATAGCCATGATTGGAACAGATATTCTGGGCTGTTTTTGTCAATAGATTTAACCTTTTTTTCTCAAATGTTTGAGCAACTCTCCAAGTACTCTATTTTCACTTTAACATTATTGATATGTTACCCCCTTTTTTAATTTCGAGTTTTTCCTTTCATTTTTATCTGTCTGTCCAAAGCACTTGTCCGGATAATAACTGAAAAATGGGTGATTGTACAGTTCAAAGTTCAAACTTAGTGTGTGGGTTTCCCTAGTGGATGCAAACAACCCTATTCCGTCTTTGCGTATTGCAGAGTTATCTTCTCTTGGGAGCAAGTATTTATTGTTCCGTCATTGGTCTGTGTGGGAAAATTACGTCGTTTTCTCAAAAATGGATGACGTTATTCTCACAAACAGGTGACGTAACAATCAATACCTCCTCCCAAGAGAAGATAACTCTGCAATACGCAAAGACGGAATTGATTTTGGGCGTGGTTTCTTCAGAGGTACAACTCAACATTGGTGGAAAAGGAATTCTGCTTGGTTCCGTTTGTCCGGGAGATTACTCGATCAAAATTCAATTGGTTTATGGGTTGCTCTAGCATAAGTAAAGAACTCTACTGCACAATAAATGTAACTTGGTAAATAGTTATAACAGGGTTAGCTCGCCTAAACAAGAACTGTAATATTGTAAAAAATATTTTGTGTTTACAAAGTGTCATTGTAGAAGTATAGAGGACTGTAGTACAGGAACACATTCAGTCACTTACTGGTCTGTTTATATATATGGAGGTAGAGTAGTATCAGATAGTCTGTGCTCTAATTTAAGCCATATGACCAGTGGATACATTACCTGGTAATGCTGTGATCAAGGGAGTTTTCAAATGTGAAAATTTACATTTAAACAGTTTTAGTAGGTGTCTGTCTCAAAATTAAAAATTAAATACTCTGGAATTTTTCGTGAATTACAATACTTATGGACATGTTGCAATACACTTATGATTTAGCTAAAGGTTAAAGGTGTGATTGATTAAAATAGCTGTTGATCATATTACCATGATTAAGTTTGATCAGAACAGATGGTGTTCCTTTTTTATGATATAATGATGACTGCATAGTTATGGTGACATGCTTGTGAGTTGGTTAAAGGAACAACGGAAACTGTTTTTTTCCTTGTTTACTAGTAATTGTGTTGGAAGTAGTATTTTGGAACTATTTTATTCGTGATAATTTTTCTTTGTTAATTAACAGAAAAATAGTGATCCTGTGATATGTAAGCATCAAATTAACTGTACAGAGTTTAAACCAGACAAAAGTAAGAGATTTTAAGTTGGTAATTTCTTAAATGAAATCAAACAATCGGATCAGCTGACCATTGCTCTGTAATGTAACCATTACTTACTATAACATTATGAAACAGATATTTCCAGCTTATATTAATCATTCTTGTGGCCTTGATGGAAGCATGCAGAGTATCTTAATGTGGGAAAACACCCCCAGAGAACCATGAAAAAAGCCACGTTTTCAGGCAGATGACCCAATACCTTTTTACATCCAATTGGGGATTCAAAACCCAGTTGTCATGGTGAAAGGCGAGTGTGCTATAAACCAAACAAACCTTAATAATATGTTCTTGGATAACGGTCTAATTTGCATATACCAAAATTGTAGATTATCATTTGTATTAACTGGTAGAAATATTTCCATACCGTCCTTTATTTTTAAAATTGTACATCTATATGGGTATATTGAAAGTGGAGGAGGCGATACCTTTTGTAGTGCAGTAATCTAAATATAAACTCTATCTATTTTACAACAATTGTGAAACAAATTATATCGACTTATATTAATCACTCTTGTTGGCCCGGATGTTGGCGCCAGGGGTCTTATTGTGGGAGCGTATCATTAGGGCCAGGGGTCTTAATGTGGGAGCGTATCATTAGCACCAGGGGTCTTAATGTGGGAGCGTATCATTAGCGCCAGGGGTCTTAATGTGGGAGGAAACCGGAGTACCTTAATGTGGGAGCGAATCAGAGAAAACCAACCTGGTCTGGCAGGTCACCCCATACCTTTTCACATCTGATCAGGGAATCGAACCCCGGCGACTTGATGAAAGGCGAGTGCATCATCCACTGCCCAACCCGACCACTCAAAATCTCTAGTATCATTTTAATTGGGAGGCTGAGTGGTTAAGGTGTCTGACCGATCTAACAGTTTGTGATCACATGCCCTCTACCACTGGGTTGCGGGTTTGAGGCCTAAATGAGGTGGTCGCCAGGTACTGGCCCATGGTTAGTGGTTTTTCTCCGGGTACTAGTTTCCTCCATCACCAAAACCTGGTTCCTCATGAAATGACCCTAGCTGTTACATTGTAATAAGTCAAAGAACAAACAAACAAACTAATTGTAAATGGGACCACATAAACACTTAGTACTGATAAACAGTAATTACGGTGTTCACTCTTGACTGATGTTTAAGCGTGTTTAACAATTTACATATTTAAAAGTTAACTAAAGAAGACATAGACAATATAGGTTAGATACTGTATACCGGAAACTTTTGCAGCAGTTAAACTTTTGACTTTTTATCACTACACCGAATATTAGTATACAATATACATGTATATTAATTTATTTGAATGGCGAAATTAACAATGGGCAAATGTGAGTTTTCCTGCTGAGAGGCAAATATTTGACTGAGCTTGAGTTTTCTGGTATTCAGCAATAAAAAAAACATCTCTTTCTTTGCTTCACTGTTTGTACAGTTTAAGATAATAGGATGAAACTCAGAGCATTTATACTCAGTGTTTTGTATTCTGTATTACACCCACATGTTGCCTAGGGTTAACCCTTTCACCCCTAGGTAACTTTAACAGTCTCTACTAGCATTGATCCGGTAAAGTCCATTATGGTCTACGGTGGTGAAAGGGTTAATAGTGATTTACAATATTTTAACTTGTTTGTACCAAAGTTTATAAAACTTAATTAACTTTTCATCATTGCAATATAACGAGTTGTAACCATTATTTAGGGATCATAATTAGAGGTCAAAGGTCATCATCATTGCAATATGACCAGTTGTAACCATTATTTAGGGATCATAATTAGATGTCAAAGGTCATCATCATTGCAATATGAGGAGTTGTAATAATTATTAATTGATCATAATTAGAGGTCAAAGGTTATATGTATATCACTTGTGGATAGACTGCATGGATTTGATAGATCAGCTTTAACTGTAGAACATTTACGTTGGGTTCTAGATGTTCCCTTGTCATGGTGCAGAGATATTTTATGTGTATACAAATGTACTACAGTAACCGCACTAGTGTCATGATCTCACTTCAAGCTTTTGTTTTGTGCATATGTGCGTTTGTTTTATAAATATGCAGACAAAGTGTTCGAAATATAAGAAATTTATTGAATCATTTACAGCTTATATTTTTTTTTGTATATGTTGAAATATTTGATGTGTCAAATTTTATGCGGTGTACTGTAGACGTACGGTAACATTTTTTGTGACTGTTTTGTAAACTTTAATACTATTGAACATGTATCTTTGAGAATGAGAAAAAAGTCCTCATTTACATGTACTTATTATATAGATTTTTTGTTACGTTTTACCAGTGAAATATTAGAAATTACCAGTGTGATAAAAACTAACATAGTCACCAGGTACTGACTGGTAATTCAACGAAGTGAAGATTTATTAAACGTCATATCTTCAGATGTAAAGATATCACATTAAGTACTGTCCAATCAGAACGGAACTTTCTATTCCCCGTGTAGATTTTCAGTTTCAAATTCAGATAAAACGATGGCAGAATAAACAGCTTGTTTCCGTACACTTTTGTCACACTTTTGCTGCATAAACTGGTTTATGACATAACTTACCCATTTAACAATGTCATATGGCCATGTCATAAATACGGTATTACACATGTGTAATAAAACATAAAGGTGCTGTGATTGGTCACTAGAGGTACTATTTTTATTTACATTTACTGTTATTTGAAAAGAATTTTAAATGGTTATTTTGTTATTATTATGTTCATTGCTTTTTCAAACTATTTACTGTAACTTCTTTGCACTGCCTAGACTGACAATACTAGGATCAGAGTACTTTGGTTTTTATCCCTATAGAGTACGCTGGTAACACATAATTGTGTTTGATGTATTTTATTTTTCAAAATTAGGAATGTTATGTGATAAATAGAATCTTACATTGGATATGACACTCGCCTGAAGGATCATGTCATTCTAAAATATTGAACTTTGTTTAATGAATTCAATATGCCATCAACTCTCATGTAAGATCTTCTATATATACATATATAACCATGCTATTGACATCGTTTTTATTTGAAAATCTTTGAAAAATTTCATTGTTAATACATGGCGAGTGTTAAAATGTGTTATCGGTACATCGGTACATCGGTACATCGGCAGATTTTTGATTTCATGTTTAATGTACAGAAGAACGTGTTTGTTCTGATGTAAAGGATGTGTAACCAAAGTTATTTGAGCATTGTTTCAATTTTGTCAAAGCGTTATATATGTAGTTGTTATATCATAGTTCTGCCATTACCAAGTTTACAAATGATATGCTTTTTATTGCTCTTTTATAGTATGTTGATGGTTAATTTGTACGATATCTAAAAAATCTCTTATTCTTGCATTCAGTGTCTGTAAAAGTTCACCTTAATCCTGAGTAAAAGGAGGGAGAAAAGAGTAATTTTAATAATGGAGGTTACGCGACATGAACATTCTACTCTTTGGTGTAGAATAACAGTACCTCCATTTCTAGAACGATGAATTCTATTAGTGGTATATTACTGTCCTGCTGTAAAGAGTAATATTTATAATTTATAATGTCCTGCTGTTTGCTGTAGACTATTTGACTACATGTCTTACATGGACTTCGTGTAATGGTAACATGTGAAGCGTAGTAAGAGGAGAACTCTCGTTGTTTCGTTTAGTATTTATTGATAGTGTTAAGTTATAATGATTAAATAAATGATGTATTATCTAAGGTAATGCCTTTCTTGTTTGTTCCGCATTTACAGTTTGACATGTGATTAACTCCCTTGTATCATTCTGTTCGTGTGCATGTACATTTATATATCTGTTGACATATGCCATAGCTCTAGACACTTCATTTCTCAACAAAAGTTTGGTGTTATATTTAGATAGGTGGGTTCTGGTGATGGAGGAAAACCAGAGTGGCCGGAGTAAACAACCAATCTGCCTCCAGTACCTGGCAACTACCCATGTATTGTTAGTAATGTGCTGAACAGTCTGTATAAATAACACAAGTCATTTTCTC